AGCAATCTTTGACAGTCAGCGGAACAACACTGACGTCTTTTATTTACAAAAAGAAAAATGGAGAAATCCCAAGATAAAGCAGATCTTCCTTAAGTCAGAAGCCCTCTGATTCTCAGACTGACAAGTGAACATATGCATGCAACTTATGCATCATATTTCTGTATTTATACCTAATGAGTAAAATACAGTACATAATAATTAAATATAAATTATATAAAATATATTATTGCTTTTTTGTATATATGATGTATCATTAGATATTAGTCTATGATTTTTCTGATTTTCTCTATTTTATTGTTTTCACGTTTTTTGTAAAGGTGATACATAGAGAGGTTACAATTACAAACATAAGGTAATGAGTAGATTTCTTTTTGAATAGTGCCACCCTCTCCCTCATTATCTCCAATGTCTACCCTGCCAACTACTCCCCTAGCCCAAGCTGTTGTCTACCCTGCCAACTACTCCCCCAGCCCAAGCTGTGAAGTTCATTTCCAGTATACTGTCTAATAAGTATTATTGTCACATTGTTCTGTTATTATATGCTATGTCATTTATGTATCATCTTAAGACTTACCCAATTTTTTAACCAATGTATAGGTAAACTCTTCCATTTTATAAAATATTGTCCTACAGATTATAACTTTACATGGAAATATATCCAATTAATCATAAGGAATAACTTGGGGAAAAACTCACTCTGAAGGAGTTTCTACTGTGCGTATTGAACTTGCCACTACTAAATATCATGAGTTAAGTATTAAGGGAAAGGTATACAAAAAGGTGAATTAATAGCAAGTAAATCACTTAATATAATTTTTTCCAAGTCTTTCCATTTCCTCACAAATGGGGCAATGTCATTCTTTCTGATAGAGGCATAGAATTCCATTGTGTATATATACCACATTTTCTTGATCCATTCATCTACTGAGGGACATCTGGGTTGGTTCCATATCTTAGCTATGGTAAATAATGCTGCAATAAAGCTGGTAGCTTTAGTATGGTCTTGTTTGTGATCATTTGGGTTTGGACTTGTAGCTTTTAATTGATTAACTTCCTTTGTCTTTCCCTTCTTCTTCCTCTGTCTTTTAAAATTTAGGACAATTTTGCTTTTATTATAACTCATAAACAATAGCTAAACAGAAAGTATAACACAAGAAAGACTAACGGAATCTCTGGGGCTCTAAGTCCAGTGACACTGAAGTCTCTCCAGTGAGACCTAGGAAGCACTGGCACCGAGGATTTTGAGTCGTTTGGATGCCAGACATGGTGGTAGAATTTGAATTCAGCGGCTATTACCATCTAATGGAACACTATATCTCACTATCTCATCTACCCCAGGATGCTATGTCTTGGTAAAGAATGACAGCCATGGAAGGTGATTCTAAATTTATTTCCTTCTAGATTATAGTGTATCCTTCTAATGCTGAAGCTACAGAGAAAATAAATCTCCAGGTTGCCTCTACCCATTTGGTCATAGAATGAACCCATAACTAGCTTATGTCAAGGACAAGCAGACAAGGTCAAAAGCTATGTACATATGACCAGATGATGTTAAGCGAAATGAACCCCAAGATAGGGACCCAAGTGTTTTTTTTTTTCTTTCTTGCTATTGTTTCTAACGTATTTACAATGTACCATGTGATTTTTTTTGTGTCTTTGTATGTGCCTCCCCCATGGTATAACCCCTGTTTTCTCTGTATTTGATGTTGGTGCCCTGCACCTTTTATATACCTTTTATATATTCTCTAGTTTGGGGAGGGGAAGGGAAAAAATCAAAATACTTAAATAGGGATACAAGTTGACCTATTGTAACAATGAGATTTGCAAGACACTAAGTTGAAAATGAACTTAACAATTTCTGAAGGGATGGTGAGGAGGTGTAGTTGTGAAGATGGGAGGGAAGGGATGGGAGGGGAAAAACAAAGGAGGTAACAATGCTCGATTGAAAATGTACTCATTACCTTGCTCATGTAACTGGAACCCCTCTCTACAGTATCTTTACAATAATAAAACGTACAAAAAAGAATGGGCCAATATAGATTAATGTGTTAGTTATCATTGGAAGATTATGTGTAAAACTTTCAAAGGAAAAGGCAGAACTAAGCAAAAAATGTTTGAAAAAATAACTCTTAAATAAAATATACATTTGTACATAGAAGAGTTCTACTGAAACAGAATCAGAAAACAGATAAAAAGATGGTATGCCTTTTTACACGTGGAAACTTCAATATAGCCATGGAGTAAATTTTTAATAAGTTTTTTATTGTGAAAATACTGTACAAAGGCTTTGCAATTACATGAGCAAGGTAATGAGTACATTTCTTATCAAGCATTGTTGCCTCTTCCTTTGTTTTTCCCTTACCATACCTTCCCCCACCTCCTCAATTAACCCTCCCCCACCCCTCACCCTAACCCCAGCTAAACTGTTAAGTTCCTTTTTCAACATAGTGTCTTGTACATCTAATTGTTGCAATGGGTCAACCTGTATGCCTATTTAAACATTTTGTTTTTTCTTTTCCACTCCCCAAATTATGCCAACGTTTAATACAGTGAAAACAGGGGTTATACGGTGGGTGAGGGACATACAAAGCAACAAAAAATCACATGGTAACTTGTAAATCCATTAGAAACAAGAGCAAGAAAGAAATTTTGTGCCCCCATTGCAGGACCCCACCAAAAAGACCACAGACAGTCAGAACTTCCGAAATGCAAAAGCAAGGCTTTATTCAGGCGGGCTGCAGCTCAGGCTTCATCCTTCACACCAACACAGCAGAGCTTAGGAGGAAGCGCTGAGCTGAAATTTTACAAGGCTTATGAAGGCAAAAATCACAAGGTTACAGGAACCAGATGCAGGACATTCCAGGGCGATAAAGGCCATCTGGACATTTCAGAGCAGTTAAAGTTTAGCAGGGAGTTTTCTGGCTAGTCGGATTCGGATAAGCTGTTCTGCTAGCTGGGATAATTGCTGGTCTGGGTTTTCTCACAGGGTCTGTTTATCTTGGGCCAGCTTAGTCATCTCTTGGAGTTTGTGGGGGTCTAAGGTCAGCTATGGTACAAAGTGGGGCCTAACTTCAGAGCAGTTTCAGCACAAACAAGTCAGCTAGTGGAACTCAGGTGGGCCCTGGGTTAATATGAACAGCAGAATGGCCACTGCTTTGAAATGAAGCCACTTTTAACTCTTCAGAAAAAACCACTTATGTCTTTTGTTTGTTTGTTTGTTTTATACAACTTTATTTTTAAAACATCTTGTTAATGTACAGGCATTGGCACATTTTTTAAAACAAACGACATAAACAACTCTTTCCTAGGCTCTAGGAAAGTGGAATGTCAGAAGTCAAGAACATGTGATCAACTTAAAGTGCTAAAACAGAAGGCACTTCACAAAATCTGTTCACTGAAACAGTTACATCCTTCACCTTATAAATGGCAGTGAGTATCTGGACTGAAGGACATATCAAAATACAGCTTTGTGACAGTTAAAATACAAAACAAGTTGATTAGCCCTTGGCCAACATTTTTGCTTTTGATGACCTAAAGTCCACTTTAACTTTCCTCTATGAAGAATCCACACAAGGATTCAGAACTGGAAAAGCTGGAATCCAAATTATACAGGGAAGGTGAATACAAAGTTTATTTTCCCCTGAAGCAGTAGAGCCCTTCGTTTTTATGAAGTTTTTTGAAGTTAAAAAAAATAATAAGTATTAAAAAGAAGAACACTTGAGAATCAGTGAACTACAAGGTGTTACATTCATTATTTTAAATACTTAGGTTATTAAGAAGTCTAAAATGTTACAGTTCGAGGTAGATAACAGTCCCAAGTGGCCAAGGAATCTAATAATTTAGTTGCTGGACATCAAACAGATCACATACACCTTCATTATCATCTAAATTAAAGTTGCAATCATCAGCCAGAGTAGGAGAAAGCCCTAAGAGAGGAAACACATCAGAAGTAGGAGTACATGGATAAGTCCTGAGTGACTCTTTAAATTTATCTGATACTTCTTTTGTCCATTCTGACTCATTTCTAGAATAGGAACCTCCAGCTGCGTACCGGAAGGGGCCTGAATGGCCAAAAGCGTGTCACCATTAAAGCAATTACAGATGTCTTCATGAGTCACATAGGAAAATCTGTTATTAATGGAATCATCCATCACATTTTTGATGCTTTGCTGTAGCCACAACTTCTGCTGGTCAAGTTCTCTTTCCTTCAGTTCTAGATCTTCAATTTCAGCTTTAAGAAGTTTTAATCTATCTATAACTTCTTTTGTGTTACAGCCAGCACCTACACCTTTCCATTGGATACTATTTTTTTATTTCTTTTCAATCAGATCAATTCCTTCTAAGACATTGGTGATATCATAAATTCTTCTCTTTTGCATAACAGCCAAAGTATCTGCAGCCGCTTTGAGATCCAGCACGCTTCCTGAAGCAGCGACACGAACTTGGTGGTGAGCAGCCTCAGGCTCTTCTCGTGCCGGCAGCAGCCTCCCCCAAGGCCCGCGAGCTGCGGCTGTGGCGGCTGCGATGGCTGCGCGGGCTGGGCCGGCGCGGGCTGTGGGCGCTGGTTCTGGCCCTGGCCCTGCGGCGCTGGCTGGCCCGAGCTGGCGGGTTCGGCCGCCGCCATCGCGTTCCAGGCTGCACCCGGGTGGTCGGGCCCCCACCCCCACCTACCCTCCGCGCTCCGCGCCCACCTGCCGGGCTGGGCAGCCGCGGCTCCCCGCAGCCACTGAGTGGGTGGCAGGCTCCAGCAAGCCACAGGTGCGCCGCATGTCCTCGGGAGTCCGGGCAGCTCGCTGGGCGCGCAGGGCCTCCGCCCCGCCCCCCTGCCCAAGCCCGGGAAGCGGGAATGGAGCCCACGAGCCACCGAGGGAATGCCAGCCACTTGTGTCTTTACCTTGGGCTTCATTTCACTTAACTTCATCTTATCTGGTCATATGCATATAGCTTTTGACCTTTCCTTGATCACAGTTAATGTCATTTGCTCACAGGAGAGGGCCCACCCTCCTGGTGTCTGTTTAGATTGTCTCTCACCACTGCACCCACCAGGATATTTGCATATTGCTCCATAGGGAGGAGCTTCCCTGCAAGTCCAACATAAAAGCTCAGCTGTAAGTTGCCTGGACTGACCAGGACTCCTTACTCTCAAAATGAGGTGCCCTGCTCATCTCCTGGGGCTGCTCATGCTCTGGATCCCAGGTAAGAACACACTAGAGCTGAGGAAAGGGTTGGGGAGGGGCTGAGCTCTGTTGCCACTGCTCTCCATGTTTGTTGTATCCATATATGAGATGTGCAGATTTGTCCTCCTGGGTGGAAATGTGACATATGTATCTGTGAGATTGAGGAAGATTCCCGAAGAAGCAAGGACCTGTGCTCTGGTTACAACTAGATAGTGGGATGGTGCTGGCAAATTATAGAGGTCCCTTACAAGCATGGTTTAGAAGCATCAAATTCTGTGTGTGTGTGTGTGTGTGTGTGTGTGTGTGTGTGTGTGTGTGTGTTTTCATTGTATATTTTATGAACATTTTGATACATAAAAAAAATTTAAAAATATAGCACGAAATAAGAAAAGATGCTTATAAAAATATCCTATGATGCTTGTAATTAACTGTGTTCACTTCTCTCATTATTATAGGGTCAAATGGGGATGCTGTATTGACTCAGAATCCAGGTTCTCTGACCCTCACCTTCGGAGAGCCAGCCTCCATCTCCTGCAGTTCTAGTCAGAGTCTTCTGCATAACAGTGGAAACACCTGTCTTGGTTCTTGCAGACGCCAGGCCAGTCTCTACAACTCTTCATCAATAGGATCTCCAACCAATATCCCGGTGTCTCACACAGGTTCAGTGGCAGTGGATCAGGCACAGATTTCACACTGGCAATCAGCAGGGTGGGGCTGAGGATGTTGGAGTTTATTACTGCTTTCAACATACACATGGTCCTCCCACACTGATACACCCCTGAACTAAAACCTTCCTTCTGAGTGATACAGCTGTGCTCATGTGTTGCTGTTCTGGGAAATCAGCAGAGCAGATTGTGTAAGTCTACCAAGAATGAAAATTGTGTTGTTATGATGAAAGTGACTGAGTCCAGAAGAAGACAATTGGATAATTATACTACATACAATCTACAAGGACTAGTAGAATAATCATAGAAGTACAAATATCAAGAGACTTCAGACAAACCATTAGGTATTTAATGAAAAAACTGCTCATAAGCTATTTATTTATATTTAAATATAAATTATAATTATAATAATTATAATGTAATGTTATAATTATACTATATTACATATAAACATAAATTATACATATATGAATTTATATATTTATTAATTATATATTATATTAATATTTATAGCTTTATATAGCTATCCAGTTTATACCTATCAAATGTTGTATGTGATTTATTTTTCATTTGTAATGAAAGTTAAAATACTTCCATCAAGATGTGGTCCTGCTCCACAACTATAGAGCATACTGTTATTTCTGTTCAGGAGCTGAAAATCCAGTTGTGTCTTTTCTAGCTTCTACTGTTTGTTGGTCAAACATTGCCTGGTCATCAAGCTCTTAGTAGTGTTTGGTTACTGTCTCTTAGCTGGATCACCCTGAAGAAGATACAGCATTGGACTCTGCACTCTGGTCTCTGGCCTTCTGTGTCCTGGGTCTCTGGCCTAGTTAAGACAGTTGATAGGAACTTCTGCCTATCCACTCTTTCTCATCACAGTCAGCAGAAACAGAAATAGTAATGGCAAAGAATAAAATAAGGGAAGGTTTATTTGATCTCCCTCAAGAGGGAAGGCAGAAAGCTTTGTGACACTTGTGTGTATTCGAAAACCCAAGTGCACTGAGTTAGCCTTTGCCTGACTGACCCTCCCTGGCTTTAAGCCATCTTTAATCATAAAGTGCCCATCACATCATCAAACACTCTCTGCAGTACTGATGTTTTGATCTGCAGTTTGTTGTATCCCATGTCACACATTCTAGTGACAATTGTTGGGTCCAAGTGATCTGGCAGTGGATATTCTGGATACAGACAGTGTTCCTCAACTTGATCAAACCAGGGGTGTACCATTATTTGATGTATATCCAGCCTCTGTTATGGGTCTATTGTTCAGAGCTGCCAAAGGATGTTACATCCTTTGGTAGTCAGGTGAGATGGCATATTATACTTGCCCTCTACAATTTCTGCACATAGCTGATTGGAAGTGTTCCCTTTAAATGGGAAATTTCCTCTAGCCATAAACAACAAGCTAGTGCCCAGGCACCAGACTGCTACCTTAAAGCCATTATATTTTTGCAAGTATATTTCAGGGGCACAGTACACATAGGCACCACGAATTTCTGTGAGCAACTGACCTGGGGCAATCCTCGTGCTTAACCCAATGCCCGACTTTGACATTGCCATTTCCATACAGTAGGATGCTGTCAAGTTTTAGGTCAAGGTATGCAATCTGATTCAGATGAAAGTACTGCTTAGTACTTAATATCTGCTTTAGAATCCTTCTGGTTTCCTTCTAAAAAAGGCAGCCAGATGCTTTGATCCACATCTGGAGATTTCCCTTGGTGGCCATCTCCATCACCAGGTAGACATATTCTTCTCCCTGGATCACTTGGTATAACCCTGACCATTTGAGGGTGATTCAGAGCCTTAACAATTTCCACCTCATTGTCAACCAGCATGGGGTTCTAAAAGAAAAGACAGTGGAATGTGGTGAAACCTTGTAATAGTGTTCATAGGTCCAAAATATCTGAGACTGAGGCCTTTTTCAAGTGGAACAATATTCAAAGCCCTACCTGATCAACCTGTGTAACTTTATTTGAGAAATAATGACAAGAGTACATCACTAATGCTTAAGTGAGTCTTGTATTGAGTTCTATCATCTTGGTTGTTTTGTTGTAATGAGCCTTTCTGAGGCCTAGAACTGACATTGCACAGTGTTGGTCTTGGAAGATTCTCTAGTGTCCATCAGTGTGCAGTGTGCATTTATCTGCCATGGTATAAAGTCTTTTACATGATACTCTCAGTTCCATCTGAGAAACCAAAGGATGAAGGTGGAAAGCTATGAGCTCACTGAGATATATTAATAGGAGAAATATAGGTCTGGAATGTACATGAACAAATGAAATATCTTTAAATCATGTATGGAACTTCTAGCAGACATAGTTAACCCAACATTTTCTAGAATACTAATTAGAATCACGTCAGAGTTGATTCTGTTCTCATCTCTGTCCAGCCATTTTACAATGGTTCAGAGTGGCACTGTTCTGATGTCTAATTTTGCCATGGCTTCACATTGTGCAAATATGTGGGTCAACAGGAAAATAATAGTAAATGTTACTGTGCCTCCCATGTGGTGCTGATGCTGGGGATTGGCAGTCTACTGCCATCATTACTTTCCATCTCAGAATTTGGCCAACTGGTAATGGGCCTGGAGCTCACTTGGAAGTATTTCCAGACATTGTCAACAAAATTTCATCATAATATACTAATGGAAAAATGAGAAATTACATTAAAATATTTCCAGTCAACATTTGATAAATAGTGGAAAATCTTTCTTGAAAAACACATACCCAGATAAACCCACATAGCGAATACAATGGTGGAACGTTCATTTACCTAAATATATATAAACATTGATACTGATTTTTCCCCCAATTCAGAAATATACTCATCACGACTGAGCACTTGGTACAAATGCAAGATAACTGATCCTTCTTAGTCCCAGGAATGACAGTCTGGATTTTAACAAGGTAGAAAGTATCCAGGGAATGTTTTGCAATCCACCCTTTAGGAGCTTTTTACCTCAGCAAATGAAACCTTTTAGGAAAAATGTTGGAATTTGAGATTGAAATTCCTCCAGCTCTGTTCTTTCTTCTAAGGACTACTTTGTTCCATATGAATTTTGGGATTGCTTCTTCTATTTCATTGAAGAATGAGGTTGGAATATTGATAGGTATCGCACTGAATTTGTAGATAGACTTTCGCAGTATTGCCATATTCATGATGTTAATCTTCACATTCCAGGAGATGGAAGGTATTTCCTCTTCCTTAGTTCTGCTTTAATTTCCTTTTTCAGGTTTTTAAAGTTTTAATTGTAGAGGTCCCTCAATTCTTTAGTTAACTCCTAGATATTTTAATTTTTGTAGGGTAATTACAAAAGGAGTTGCTTTCCCTATTTCAGCCAAGCTCTTCTCATTGTTGGAATACAGAAAAGCCATTGATTTTTGAAGGTTAATTTTATACCCTGCTACTTTGCCAAAGTATGACATGGTACTGCCGTTTACCAAAACTTAATCTTTTTCTATATTCTCGCAAGAACCATTTTTGGATTGTGTATTAGTTCTGATAAAAACAATAATCAAAATTTCTTGAACTAGTTTCATTGCAATTACATATCATGCCATTCACAGTAAAAGACTATTTAAATAATCAGGGAAATAATCTGTTCAGTCAGATTTTTTAATGCCAAGGAAATAGATTCTATTTTTCAGTATCATTGCATACCTGTTCATAAAATAAACACAAAGAAAAACATACAGGAAGGATTTGGCAACACAACTCTATAGAATATATATTTCGTTTTTTATATTTCAGTAAGTCTTATTAATTTAGCAATACACAAATTGTTTTTGATTTATGTTAAAAGAATTTACAAAGTAGAACCCTCTTATTTAGCTTTTAAGGAAATTGATACATATAATGATGGTAGAAACTTTCTAGTTTGCATTCAAATATCACAACTTTAATGTTTCTCCAATAAATCAAGTGTTCATTTATAGGTAAAGGCAAGTCATTCCTGAATTACCTTAGGAAATCATTATTTTCACTACATGAAAAATATAAAAACATTTTCTTTTAAAATATGTGATTTCCTGTTTAATTAAATCTGTAAGACATGACAAGTACAATAGAAGAGTTACAGAATATAAATTTCTACAAACACTCTATGAAGTGTGATGACCCGGCACACACAGCTCTGAGCTGGACACTCACTGGAACCCTGCACAATGTCACAGCCCCAAACACAAACTCCCAAGATAGCCTAAGATTCTCAATGTAGCAGCAGCAGCTGCAAAGCTCAGAGGACTACAGGGAAACAGACTTGGCTCAGGGGCAAATGGCTTCAGAGTCTTGAGAAAGAGTCATGGGAAGCCTCAGTCACAAGCACTGGCAGCCCTCATGCAAAAACAGGAACCAGTACTTGGCCAAAATAATCTGGTAGCCTCTTCTTCCCTCTATATTAAGAGCCTATTTTGAATACATTTTAGTAGGAAGTGGGTGTAATTTCTCCTTAAATGTCATTGCTTAACATCATGGAGGCAGGGAAATTCTGTCATGACCTCTCGGGAGGAGACCTGACATCACTGCTGCTATATGGCCCACTAAGGGCACTAACTCATGCCTGTTCTGGGTATCTGTCACTCTCCTAGCAGGAGATCAATTGTGACCATAGATGAACCAAACATTAGAACTTCAGAATACTGGAATTAACAGTGACTGAATGGGAGAAATAGATTTACAAAAATAATAGCATATTCTACTATGCTACTTTCAATAACACAGACTATACATAGAAGATCACTAATGAAAAGGATTGAATCTTTAATTATTTAAAAGCACAAAAAATCATATCTTCATTACACCACCAAAAACATAATGTATTTTTCTTATGCAAAATTCATTTTTATTAATAATTATGTGTATTTATTTAAAAATTGTTAATAAATTTAAAAACAAAGACGCAAATTGTTTTCATTAATGAAAAAGGGTAAAAGCACAAATCAATAGAAAAAAGAAACGTGAAATTTTTACAAATATGATGGGGGGAAAACATTACATTTATTTTTCTTTACTGTTATTGTAAAAATGATGTGTAGAGGGGTTACAGTTACATAAGCCAAGTAAAGACTACATTTTCAAACAATGCCTGCATATCTGTTTTTTAAAGTTGGTCTAAGAAGAAATCAAAAGTCATCTTAGAAAATATCATGTCAAAAATACAACTGCAAAAATAAAATACTAAAACTTATGAGTTTCAAAAACACGTGGTATATATACACAATGAAATTCTATGCCTCCATTAGAGAGAATGATATTGCCCCATTTGTTAGGAAACGGAAAGGCTTGGAAAAAATTATATTAAGTGAAGTAAGCCAAGCCCAAAGAAACATAGGTCCCAT